GTAGGAGAAGCAGAAGAAGCTCAAGAAAAGCAGACTTGAGATCTTGAAATGATGGAGAAGTGCTCAGTAAATTGAAGAGAAAAATGGAACTCATCTTGTTCACACCTCTTTTCTATGGTGTGATTATTTCATAGGGAGGCTTGAGGAAGAAGGCACTCGTCGGGGAAAGGCTGAAATGAGCAATCACTCCCTACCCATTCTGTATCTGTATATTCCTATAACAGAATCTCATGAATTGCTCACTAACCTCCCAGCCTTCACCATTCCCTATGTTCTTTATTATCCTTCCTTTCCAGGACTGGAGGACCAGACAGAGCAGCCCTCTGGCCGGATCAGTTGCCCAGAAGGCACCAATGCCTATGGCTCCTACTGCTACTACTTTACCCAAGACCATGAGACCTGGGCCGATGCCGACGTACGTAAGGAAAGTAGGATGGGAATGATGTGTGGGTGGTACACAAGAATAAATCATTGCCAATGAATCAATTCAGCATCACAGTGACCTTATAGGACAGAGGAGAACTTCTCCACAGGGTCTCTAAGACAGTGTCTCTTTATGAGAGTAGACATCTTCATTTTCCTCTCATGCAGTGGCTGATTGAAATGAGACTGTGAGTTGCTAGTGGCCTCTGAGGCTGAAATGAGATATGATTGCTTGTCTAGAGATTGTATTGCCAGTGGGAGTCACATGATGTAGACTCACCCATCTCCCCATCTTGTTCTTCTATTATGCACAATCACACTCAGAAGAATTTATTGTTGACAATATCATGTTGCCCTTTTTTTTTTTTGCAATTTCCACCTCTCCTCTGCCCACCACATGGAAAAGGGGTTCAGAAAGATAATCATTTTCCATTTAATACTAATCTCTTCTTTCTCCTGCCTAGCTCTACTGCCAGAACATGCACTCTGGTCACCTAGTGTCGGTGCTAAGTCAGGCCGAGGGCAACTTCGTGGCAGCCCTAATCAAGGAGAGCAGCACTGATGCCCTGAACGTCTGGGCTGGCCTCTACGACCCCAGAAGGGTGAGTCTAATGTCCTTCCCTTTCCTGGTGCCCAGGACTGGGGGATAAGAAAAAAATATCAGAGGAGGCATCCTATGACCCAGCGTTTATTATTATACCCTGTAAAAAGTACTACCCCGTGAGGTCTCAAAATGTACTGATATGATTCATGCCTGATATTAGAGAAATTAACTGAGTGAAGCATTCCCTTGGTGTCCTTGGCATTCATGATAATATAATTCTGCCTCCTTCAGGAAGCGTTTTTCTGTGCCCATTCTCACGGAATCTTGTTGCACAGGCTCCCTCTGCCAGTGTAGAGGGCAGGGGGCTGTAGGAGGAGAGCCCACTGTTGGCACTACACAAAATAACATCCTGAACACTTGTCCTGGGTACTCGAGAAAGTGAAGCCCCCAGAGGAGCTGTCTCTAATCTGCTGTTTGGGGGCTTGTATCAAGTTCAGGATCCTTACTGTTTCGAGCAGCATATTGGAATGAGACTGTGAGTTGCTAGTGGCCTCTGAGGCTGAAATGAGATATGATTGCTTGTCTAGAGATTGGATGCTACTTGACTGGGAAAAGTGAGGCAGAATATAGGCAGGGAAGGAAATAGTGTTCGTGGGTAAGCAACATTTTTTCCTCTGAATGTTTTTACCTATTCCTGGATGTGCACATGATATAATTTCTCTCTGAGCAACCTCGAATCCCGTTACACTTTGTTTCTTCTAGAACCGCCGCTGGCGCTGGAGCAGTGGGTCCCTGGTCTCATACAAAGCCTGGGCCAGCGGATCCCCGAGCACTGACAACCCTGGCTACTGTATGAGTCTGACTTCAGCGTCAGGTAAAATGCAGCAAACCCACTCCCAGCTAGTTACTGCCATCTACACCTGCTCTAGTTCTGGGGGCTGAGGATGGGGAGAGCCTAGCTTCTTATTTAGGTAATTCAAATGCTAGTTACTCTCTTTTCTTCTGAGGTTTAGAAGTCAAGAAAGAACAAAACGGTTTCCTGGTTTTCTAGTTTAACTCTTCTCTTTGGCTTACAGGTTTCCAGAAGTGGAAAGATGAAGACTGTGAAACAAAGTTCTCTTTTGTCTGCAAGTTCAAAAACTAATGACTGCTACAGGTGGATTTCTATGACTCCCCTGTTAGTTACCATAATGACACACCAAAATGAACTGTCTTTCGTCTCTAAACCGAACACTCCATCTCCTGATGAGTTCCTATCTCCACCCATATCTCTCCAGAATATTCCAATCCTTGGATCCCTGAAAAGTGAGAATAAACACATGTTTGCCAATTATAGTGTTTTGTGTATCTATATTTGCCTGGGGTGGGTGAGAGTGATTGGACCACTTTGAAAATTGTTTTTATCCATACCATTTTGTGTGTGCATGTTAGATTCCAGATTCCAGAATTTACTAACATGAAATTGAATCACAACTGATGAAGTTAATAAGATAGGACTTCAGTTACTACCCAGATATTCACATTGTGAATTGCAGAAATTTTTAGAACATGGGCGTTGAGATAAGTGGGATATTTCATTCTTTTGAATCATTTCCATACCTGGTATATGAAAAAGGCATAAGACCTTGACTGAAGTGCTAATTTAAGGTGCTTTCATTAGTATAATATGAATGAATGGTGATGTGTGTAGAATAACAACCTGACAAAATTCACTACATGGCATACTTTGAATGAATATATAAATTAGAATTTATAAAACATACAGGCATACATTACAATTCTTAAAATAGTTTGCTTATCTAAGTTGAGTAAGTCTCCACATATTTCCCTCTTGTATTAATCTATGCATATCAGGATCCAGTCTTTGCAATAGTCTGATTCAGGATTTAGAGTGATCATGTAGGTAAGGATGGAGGAAGTCAGTTGTGTTAGTCAGGGCAGACAAGAGAAACAAATACAGGGAGACTCATACAGGTATTGGAAAGAACCTTGTGATAGGTAGGTTTATTGTGCCAACCTGGCCAATAGAAACATGTGGGATTAATAAGGCCACAATTTGATTGGAGGGAAAAGAGATAAATGGCTCAACAAGCCCCACCCCTTGTTCTTTTGCTTTCTGGTGATCAGACCAGTGTGCAGCTGCTTTAGCTAGTTCTTTGCTTCAACTTGTGAGCTACACTGCCTTTAGGACAGCAAACCTGTGATTATGTTGCTACAGCATGAGGTTCCCTTGAAACCTGCTTTGCCACACTGATGATGTATACATGGCTTGAGCTTGAGGTTGGTGGGTTCTGTTGTTTTGCTTTGTATGAGTTTGACATCCCATCGGGCCTCATGTGCTAAACTCCAGAGCTGCTGACTGTTGGTGAACTGCCCTGCTGTTTTCTGCCTGTGGCTGGATTGTCTGCATTCTCTAGGGAAGACTTAGCTGTCTACTTCCTTGACCTTGGGCCCAGCAGCCCACGTGAGCTGAAGGACTTCCAACATATTACAGCATATTAACTATTCCATGGATGTAAGTTGAACTGAGGCCTGCTGTTTGGATGAATTAGCTGTTATATTCCTTCATGATATATATATATCGTGTGTGTGTGTGTGTGTGTGTGTGTGTGTGTGTGTGCGTGTGTGTGTGTAAAGTGTCCTGGTTTTATTTCTCTAAAGAACCCTGTCTAACACAAACTTTATATAAAAGAGCAATTGTATATTGAGAAAACATCCCAACCCAGTCCAGATCAAGTCCATAAGTCCAATATTAGCCCATATGTCCCAGACCAGTCTATACATTTCTCTACAGACTCATGCAACACATGCAATGGCTCTGCATGCAGGAAGATCACAGGCCAGTGGGTGGGAAGTCTTATGGAGCTACTGACGATGGAAGCATCTCAGCGCTGGTGTGAGTCTCTGGCGTGGCTCCTCCAGCTGCAGGGCTCTGGCTCCATCAGAGTAACTCCATGTGGTTTGTCAACAGGAATGTCTCACAAGAGATAGTATGTGTCCTACCTCTAGGGAGGAAGACAGGAGTTCCCGGAATTGTTAGGAGAAGGCCATGCCCACACAGGGGAATCATTGGCTATGACCTGATTTTCAGGCTAGACTCCACCCCTTCCTCAAACTGACAGTGGATTATGCATCTATCGGCCACATCAGTATAATATTTAATCTGAAAACAAAAACAAATAATAAAAGAAAACAACTGTTAACTTTAAATCAAAAGCCGGATCCATACTAGAAGCTTAAATAGTTTATCTCTTTTGATGTTGGAAATATTTTTCTTGAAATATTCCTATGGATTGGAGTTACAAATAATCGGATATGGAGCTAATAAACAAGGCCTTTGCTCCAAAACATCAGTGCTTTTCTCTACATTGCAATTACTATTTACTAAGCATCATCTTATCAGTCTCTAACTTTTATTTTATATTCTTTTTATACATGTATATTTATTATAAAATGATTGGCAGCATGCCATAGTGTTTAAAAGCACAGTATCTAAACCCAGTGTATTTAACTTCAAAATTGGCTTTGTTACTTTTTAAAAGAGGTATCTTTTAAAATGATTTTTAAAAATTTGGTTTTGAAGAATATTCCCAGAAAATCTATAATAATCTAGCCATTTCTGCATGTACAATTCAGTGACATTAATTAAAACTCTCTATTGTGCAAACATTCATGCTTCCTTTCTGAGTTGCACCTCCCCCATTTATATAAAGCCTCTGTCCCCTAGGTTTCCTTCCTAAATTTTTAGATTTCTGTTGGTATTTAACCCAATAAAATTAGTTCTTCTGCAGGCATAATGCTTGAGGTGGTTGCTTTTTACTTGTTAATTTCAACTGCTCTTTAGTTTTTTTTGTTTTGTTTTTTAGTTTTATAGATTTATTTTCAAAGGGCAAAACACTTACGACAACTTAAATACAAGCCCAACAGAATTACTCTAGTAAAGTCAGCAATGATGCTGATAGGCCACCTTACTTCTAGACAGTCGCCAGAGTCACCCCAGTCTTCTCACAGGGAAGAAAGGTGGTCTGATACATTATTCACATGCATCCTTCTTATCTGCAATGTAATCTACACTTGCTTGTGGATACATTAATTTTTCCGCATCCTTATCTGGAATTTCAAATCTAAATTCATCCTCCATGTCTGATATAGTTTATTGTGCCAACCTGGCTGATAAACACATGTGGGGTTAATTGAGGGGCCGAGGGATAAGTGGCTTGATGAGCCTCGCCTTTCTAGTTCTCAGGTCTCTTGCTTTCTGAAGGTTGGATTAAGGTGCAGCTGCCTTAGCCAGTGCCCTGCTTCAGCTGGCAAGGCTCACTTCCTGCAAGATATTCCTGAGGATAAGCCACATGGACCTATTCCGATGCAGCCCTGGGTGCTGGAGCAGCCATGTGGAGACCCTTGCCAGCATTGAAATGTTTACACTTTCACTGACTCAGCTTTCCTCCTGCAGTCCAGCATCGTTGCATGTTTTGTGAGATTGTGGAAGACTTTCTGGGTTGGTAGCAGACACATGGGTTAATGTTGGACTTGTGGGCTTGGGCAGAACTGAGTCAGGATGTTTTCTTGATGTGCACTTAACCCTTATATAAAACTCTCTCTTATACATGAGTTTCTGTGGATTTGTTTCTCTAAAGTACCCAGACCAACACCATGGCCATGATAATCTCCACTTGTTCCAAACTGTCTAAACCCTGGTCTTGGGAATTCACTGAAAGCTTTTCAGGGTCAATCTTATCATAGAATTTCAAGATGTAAAGAACATGGTCCTTGATTCCTTCTAACGTCAATGGTGGTGCATTGTTGTGCTGGCAGCACAGCTGTGTGACTCTACCAGGAGCCTGCACGAGCATCGAGACCGACTGCGGAGCCCTGAGATTCATCCGGTTCCCCAAAGGGAATAGAGTGGTGCTGAGTGGCCGGGTCATGACCAAAGTGGTGGCCCGAGGCAGTGGTACAAAGGCCGCGGGGAGGCAGCAGACACAGGTGGAAAGGACACGGGCCGCCATGGCTACATCAACCCAGGATGCACTCTGCTGTTTAGTTTTAAGAAGACTACAGGAGTTGTTTTTTATTTAAAATTTAAAGATTCCCTCAATGGTTCACCCAGTGTTGATGGTTTCTGAAAGTCTGTAGTCATGGAAATTTGTAATTTTATTCTACATTTTATCACTTTGGGGCAAGATTCTTCTCTAACATCTTTCATCAAAATACTCAGTAAAGGTAGCTGGGTACCACCTAGTTCTCTGATATCGTGGCAAAGTAAGGAGTTGTGCTTGGTGGCAATGAGCCATCCATTTCATCTCCTCATTATTTTTTCTTTCATTCTTTTGTTTGTGCTTTCTTACTCAGTTGGATCACTTTTTCTTTGTAATTGGCACAAATATGTATTTATTTCAGTTGGTGGACCAGCTAGCACTTTTTAAATTTACTGTCATAGTCAAGTAAGACCTTGGAGTGTTGAAACATCTCAATTTTTATCCCATCAATTACCAGAGCCTTATTCATGTACCATTTCCACATGAGCACAATTTTCTAGAATTCCCATTTTTCTCAAAATTGTTCATAGTACATTATGATTTATACATTTGAATGCCTTATGTAAATTAATTATGTATATCAATAAAACACATGCGAACATTTTTATGGTAATCCCTTCTTCGAACCAAAATGCATCTGACACTAGTCATGATATATCTTGTTCCATGTCCTATTCAGAATACAGCTTGACTTCCTGGCTGCTCCTTGTCTATTTACTGCTGCAACAGTTGCTGAATGATTTTTAGGAAAATCTTAACTTGCATGGGATATTAAGGACATTGATCTGTAATTTCCATGTTATGTTGGATCTCTTTGCTTTGAAATAGGAACAAGCATGAATCTCGTTCATACCTGGTAACTGTCTTCCAGATTTGAGGCATAAATTTGTGAGTGTTTCCAGAGCTTTATCAGTATTTTGAGATATTTCAGTTTATATCCCATAACTGACATGAACAACTGATGGTCTATTATGTTACTCAGTCAGCCCCTGGCCTGATTTTGGATGATTATATTGAGCTTCTTGGTCAACTTTTTCCACAGATGTAGTCATTTTGGTTTCTATATATTTCAACTAGATACATCCACATTTATAGTCTGTTGATGTTTAAAAAGGTATTTTATATAAACATGTTGTTGGTCTTGTAAAATCTATGTTACTATCTCCAGCTTCATTTACATATTTTCTAACTACTATTCCTTCCTCTTTGTTTCCAACTTTTGCATTCCAATCATCAATAATTATCGATGGATCTTCATTGCATGTTTGATCAATTTCACTTAAATATCTTCTAAACTAATAATTCTTCATTATTATAAAACAGAATTCCTCTTTCCAAATATCATTCTAAACACAGGTAGGGGAGTTTGATTTTACAACACATGATTTAGAAAACACAATTCAATCTGTAACATTCTATATTTTAGCACCCCATAATTCTTGTCATTCCCACATATGAACCACACTTTCACCATCATATCATCCAATGTTAGACAGGTTTCTCTAGAGAAACAAAAGCAGGACACTAATAATTTTATATATATTTATATAGATAGATAACATAAGAAATAAACAGCTAATTAATTAAAAATCAGTACAAATGGCTCAGTGCAACTGAGTTCCGTGAGATAGCTGTGAGACACTGGCAGTCCTTCAAGTCTTGAGGGCCGCTGGTAGTCCTCTGTAGAACAATTCAGGCTATCTGGCCACAGGCAGCAAACAGCAAGGCAGGTCTCCTACAGTCAGCCAGATGACAGGGTCCGACAGTCCCCAGCTCAAGAGAAGTATATTCCAGTAGCGTAGTGAAGCAGGTCTTGAAAGAACCTCAAGTTACAGTGAGATAGTGCACAGGTTAGGTGTCCCACAGGTAGTGTAGCTTGCAAATGGAGGCACAGAACAAGCAAGGCAGCAGCATACTGGTCCAATGAATTAAGAGTAAGAGACAAGGAAAGTGAGGCTCACCGAGCCATTTGTCTCTCTGCCCATAAACTTACCTATCACACAGCCTAAAATCTTAAATCAACACCTATACAAAATCTCATCATTGGACTCATCTAAATCAAATATGGGTGGGATTTTGTGCATATTATATTATGGGAAGAATTCATTTCCACCAGTGATCTTATAAAATTTAGAATACAAATTATCTGCTTCCAAAATAAAGTGGAGAGACAAATATGCACAAACATTCCCAATAAGAAAAGGTATTATTGGAGGAAAAACAGGAGTTATGAGAACTAAACATTCCAAACACCAGTGTTACCATTAAACTAAGTCTATTCTATGGGAATTGAGTGGTGTTCCTGAATTTAAATGCATACCATAGAGCCTATTTTATTAAGTCTTAAACAAAACAAAGAAAAGACAAAAACAAAGCAGTTGGATGAGGGAGCCCATTAGCATGAGGTCATAATAGTTTCCCAAATGCTTATGGTCAAATGGCTAATTATAGGGGAGGGGATCATCACAAAATCATGATTGGTGACAGATCAATTTATCAATGTCATAGGCATGAGCTCAGAACAGAAAAAGGACCACAATTAAATATATACCCAAGTGCCTATTAGAAAAGTTTACACGATTGATTCTGAGACCCTCAGGACATTCTGAGGAATGAGTCATGACCATGGAACCCTGGTACACCGTTGTCCATGTCTAAGCATCTTGGAAGATTTGGGCATTTGGAACATCCTTGATCTCTAAGTCCTTGGGATAATTTGGTATTAATTCTTCTAAAAAATTATTATCATATATAGAAAATCTAAGTTTAAATTTTCATTATAAATATCGAGTTCCTAGAATGTTGCCAAATGTTTAGTTAGTCACCTTAAATTTAGATAATGTGAATCATTGCCATCATCATCTGACAAGAATTTTCAAGTGACTTATAATTGACATTTAAAATTTAAAGCAATGTAACATAAGATAGAATGCCTAATCACCATTTTCTACCTGCATTGATCTCTCTATAGAGCAGTGGTTCTCAACCTTCCTAATGCTGCGACCCTTTAATACAGTTGCTCATGTGGTGGTGACCCCCCAACCATAAAATTATTTTCATTGCTACTTCATAACTGCAATTTTGCTACTGTTATGAATCAGGTGACCCCTATGAAAGTCATTCAACCCCCAAAGGGATCATGATCACAGGTTGAGATCCATTTTTATAGAGTATTCAAGTCCCCAAAATGATTATGTGAGCAGTCAAAGAAAGCCAATCTGCCTTTTTTTCCCCCTTTCCCAAAGCAGGAATCTTATATCATCTCTTCAGTCTGCCCCTTTCCTCTGTTTCCTATTCGTTACCCTACTCCCGTTTTCAGCACGTCCTGCCCCTTCTTATGCCTTCTTCTTACCAAAAAGGCTCTTCCCTCCTTGCTGATCAGGGTCAAGGGAAGAGGGTATGGGAGTCCATCTAGAGTTGGACAGGTGGCAAGCCTATTTTCGCGATCACATCTTATTTAGGACAGTTCTCAGTACCAGGAATACATTATGTCCCTTTAATTAACTGAATTAACTCCTTGCTTTGGCTTCATTTCCTTATGGAGTTTCTGACTTACCTTATATTAACCCCTCCTACCCACCACTCCACCTTTGTGAGATGTTGGGACTCCTCACACAGATTCTTTTATAAAGACCAGATCCATCCCTTCTTGGCTTGAGAGTCATTGGGTGAGTGCCTGATACAGGAGGAACATCACTAATTGGACAGTTATCCTCACATTTTGGTTGGGTTACGTGATTATTTTCTTTCCCAGAGATTCCAACATTAATGAGCCCTCAACAGGAGGTAAAGCTGCTTCTGGGAAACTGGATTCAGTCTCTAAAGATAAGGATTTGCAGGTGTGGGTGTTCCAGAAGGTCATTCTGCCTCTCCTGAACTCTGAGACAGGGAACAACAAGGGAGATACTAAGAGCTCAACTCTCCATTTCACTGTGCTTTCCTTCAGAGATTTCTGATCCTTCAGCAAGAAATAGTTTGCTTCTTAGAATGGCATATGCCAACTCATGCTTAATTCTGAGCTTGTGCTTGAACCCTAAAGCCCTCATCACTTTCTGTTACACATTAGTCCACATGAGAAAAGACAATTCAAACAGTAGTGTTGGCTAGTGTTGTATGGTAATCTATATTGTTAAATTACACTTGTCCTGGAAAGCTAAATCTGAAGGTCTTATCTGATTAAATCTGAACTTGGTTGTCTATTTAGGGTTGGGGATACACAGAAGGTCAGCATTGGGATGGAGAGCTAAGGAGAATTATGTGGAGATTAGAAGCCAAAACAAGCTTGAGAAAGGAAGAAGCTCAAACATTGAAGGCTGGAAATGGGCTCAGAAAGGAAAAGAGAAATACAGAACAAATTTTGCTTCCTAATTTGTAGTGTGGGAATAGAACGTAGGAAAGAGGATTCAGCTGACAGGAAGAAAAAAGTAAGCAGTCAATCTGTACCCATCTCTAGGTTGCTCAGTCTCATAGGCTCCTTTCTCACATTCCAGGCTACACCCTGTGCTGTCACACTCCTTTATTGTCCTTTTTTCCCATGCCAAGAGGTCGAGATCATCGGCCCTTTGTCCAATCTCTATGACTCTACTGCTACTTCTTTAACCAAGATCCTGAGTTGGGGGTTGGTACAGATGTATGTGAGGTGAGCAGTATGGGCACAATCTTTGACTGTCAGATGGATGTTCAATCACCTGCTACTTTGTATTGTCTATTGCGTGCCTCAATGTGATTTGATTTGCTGCTATCTCTCCTATCCCCAGGCTCAGAGCCTTTCCTTCCATGTTGTTTTTTATTCTGCAGAATCACAGCATAGGTCATTTGTGTCAGTCTTGCTTAACTATCCATTTCTGACTCCATTGCATAGGAGGTACTATAAGGCTCATCTAACACTCTAGCCATTGAGTACTGATCCCTTCTTTTCCACAGACAGCTCTTCTGCCAGCATCTGCATTCAGGCCACTCAGGACCTGTCC